AATTGGCATTGGGGAGCTGAAGATTGGTGGGGGGCGCTAGCCTACTCGCTTTTCTTTCGTGTATCAGAAATTTTTAACATGGGACTATTTCTGATAGCTTATTCGAATGCAGGGCTAGTGTAGATGAGTTGCAAACAAGCTATCGAGACACACATCACTGGAAAACAGTCCTAATTTCATGTCGTCATTTGAAAGAGAACACTTCAAAGGATATCCTCTTATTTGCATCCATTTAAAGTAATTTGAATATTACTGTGAATATACAAAATCAAATGGTACTTCAGCACAATAAGAAAGGTATTAAATGCATCCATTTTTGTGTGCGAGAGAGACTGCGAGAGTCTTGTAAGTTCCTTGTCACGGGAACTATCTATAGAAACATCAAGGCCGTCTTAAGGCAAGGATGGATCACTTTTCTATTTTTTTCTATCACAAATGGAGGATTTAGTCTGGAGGCTCCCGGAGCAAACGAATATCATGAACTATTACACAAGTCTTAGAACTTACAATTTTCTACTAAGTATACTTCACTGAACTTCCAATCATTTTATTACCAATATACCAAAGCCACAAATCGAAAATTTGGAACAACCAATCTAAGCCGATGAGCTCATCAAAAGACAATGTTGACAACGATAATACAGGTTTTACTAAATCCAGTTGTGGAACAAGTTTAGACGTCGAAGTCATGAAGGGTTCATAAACATGATTTCACTCGCGAGTATGAACTGAAATTTATGTAAAGGAAACATACCCAATGAAAGTCGAAGGGAGTGTGGCACACACAGAGAAGCGAGTGTCGACTATATGACAGTGAGCTAATCCTATTTATTCACCTCCAAGGATCTCCATGTCATATTCCAATGTATGCATCCATTTTCAAAAACTGAACGAGAGTCTCCCCGGGGCTCGTCAACCATCAGAGAGACCTACTCTATATATATCTATCCCCAATATCCATAATCATACATTGTATATATATACATTAAACTAGGAGCATTAGTGTCCAATTCATTAATATATCCACTTCACTCCAACCGTCCGCACCACCAGACTCTGCAGATTTTAAGTCTCTGAAAGAAGAGTCTGCCACCTTAGGTCAAGTACATGGGGACGAGTACCTAGACTAGCTGTACGAATTTGACGTACATTCACATCACCAAGCACATGACAATGCCAATGCAGATACAACATTGATATATGTTACATTGATCTTGAGACTCGAGTTTCCAATATCCTCTCCCAAAATGTGCCACCAGAAGTCGAATCATTAGCACGAATCGACGGAACCAGAATCGAGAAAAGCAACTGTTATGTTCTCCCTAATTGTAGTTATCCACCTTCTCTGCCAATGCGTGTTTCCGACTCCACCTTCACTATCCTATCACCAGGGCTTAAAGATATTCATCTTGTTGTTTTTCAATCAATCCGTCTCCTGCGCATAAAGACCGTAGATCCTCGTTAGTCTCAACCTTAATATAACTTTCTCTAGTCCCTATTCTTGTTCTCATTTCTATACTCCAATATTTGGCGCTGAGGAAGACTGAGGGTTGGAACACTGGCAATTCTATCATGATAGAAACTACCGGGTCAGAATGCAACCAGTTTATTCAGACAAAGAACCACATAAAACAAAGTTTAGATGTCTAAGATTCTTGCATTGAGCCGGCAAGTTTTCACATCCCGAGTCTTGAGCTCGAGATTAAAACCACACCGAATGACTTTTTGACCCAGTTCGAATTTCTTCAAACAGTCTTTATTTGTACTCAGAGAATTTAAACATTACAAGCCACGCCAATTTTAAGACAATTCACGAGTCAGGCATGCTATTTGCTATCACAGACATCATGCTATGTCATTGATCCACTTTCACAACGCTCTCCCATTGCAGATCACATTACCTTCATGCCGACTCTAACAATTTTCCGAGTGCGAATTTTCCAGCGCGATACCAGCCACGATTGGCACATTACTATGAATCGATACAGCCAAGAATATGACCAGATAAAAAGACGAAGAAAATAACAGTGGTGTGCAATCGAAACAAGTGACAAAAATGCATCTCGCCCTCCACTAAGTATGACACAACGAATCTACAACACGCTATGGTTGCAATTAATGCAAAAAAACAAAAGACCAATATAATATTCAGTATCGAATCTTGGAATCGAAGTTTCTCTTTAGAAGCAAAAGGTGAGTAAACCCATTTCAAAGAAACATTCATTAGAGTAACCATTTTAATTATTTGGACATGTCAACAAATCGAATCAACAGGCCACAGTTTATCCACATGCAATCAAAACTTTCTCTCTGAGAAAACTATACTATTAAGACTATTTCGAGGAAATTAATTTAAGCCATGTCACAGGTCAGGAAAATAAACTGCCTTTATTGCTATATTTGGCTTGTCTAGTCTTGATGGAAAAATTTAATCAAGTATCAGAAAATATCACCCTCCACGCAAATATAATCAATGCCATGACAGAAAACAATTCGAGACATATGCAATATAGCAAACGACTGCCATTTCTAGATAGGATGAAATTCATCTAATCTCTCTCCTGAGCACCACAAACTACTTTTCATCGAACTAACTAACTCCAGGCTTTTCCACCAATCTAATCCAAAGGTCGACCACTACAAAACTCACTGGTGTTCATAGCCAAAACCCTACTTCACAAACTAATATCTCCTGTAAGCTGTTTATGACGACAGAATAATACCTGTTACTTTAACAATTACAAAGTCTCAAATGAAATCTGAGCTAAAGCGGTTAGTTGGGACTAACCGGACAAAACAGTCAACGTGACGCGCGCGTATAGCGCCCCTCATAGGACGGGACTAGGTGCCGAGTCGTAGACACGGGTCGCTATCACTAAGTCCGATTTAGGTAAATTATTTGTATAATAACTTCGAGTACCACATAAACGTGCAAAAATTGTAACCACTACTACAACCACAACTATAACTTGTAAGATAGCCCCCACATAAACCGAAAATTCATAGATAAGATAATAAAAGAAAAAGCAACATATACACTAAAATCGTCACTGTAGCGAGTACTTATCTGAAATACAATCACCTCAATAGTATAAATAGGCTCCCATCTAAATAGAACCAAACGAATATAATAAAACAATGAATTTTTCGAGGACACAAATCAACCCGAACCACGACACAAGACTTATGTAAACAACTGACTATATGAGTTTTAATGATATGAGCACCACCCCCACACTAGCCAAAAGCACCACCAAGCACGGAGCAAAATATAGGTGTAAAAGGCGACTCGACATGAAGCATTCTATTCACTGCAAATAGCGTACAATGACATTTAACTCATAGTGTAAATGGTGGCAATATTCTCTCCTTGTTTAAATAACAGGTACCGGAGCCTGTTTTCCGTATGCTACGCTTCAAGAGATCACGCCTAGATTTTATACCAAACACGTAATTATTAGTAGATGGTCGACAAAACTTCCACCAGACAGAAAGCAAAAGATCCAAAAGAATAAAAAATGTGTTGAAAAGAGAGTTAATTTGGGACTATGGACCCGTGAAAAACCATCATGAGAGAGAAATGACACTGACAAACAAATCTATCTCCCATCCGGTCTTGATTTAATAATCTTAAGTTTAAGTAAATAACCCAATGGTGCGTCCCTTCTCCCATTCCCCTTTCGTGATCGTCTACTTCTCGTCTCCGACGTCAAACATCATTTTGTCCACATGTATTGTTTTCTGATCCACGTGATGTCTGCTATAAGCCCACCAGGCCCCTCCTAGCTTCTGTCCCATGCCCCGCAGCTGCCGTTAGCTCTGCCTAGATAGCCTACTTTCCAAGCCCCTAAGGTGTCCCGCCCAAAACATTTTTTGATATGTCTCTGATCCGATTAACAGTTAATCGGAGCGGTCGGTCACCGTCCAGCCCCTAGGCTCCGCCTAAGTCGATTTTTAGAACACTGCTTAAATTAGATTTTAATTTGGAGAAATTAGGTTCTCATCATTTCTTTTGCTATTCCATTGATTAAAATCCTATTCACTTTCAATTTTTTATCAAGGTACTTGGGTATTAATAACATCATTAATTATTTCAATAATAAAATATTTTTTTTATTTTAAATATATTCATTTAATGTTACAATTAGTATATTTATATTAATGACTAAATTTTTTATCATATATTTTTAGTTTTAGTTTGTACCCATTTTTAATTTGTAATTCTTTTTTAACTTGTACCAATTTTCCTTTTAGTTTTAATTTGTACCCATATATTAATTTCTTTTTGTGCCCATAGTTTTTAAAGTTTATCTGTATTTGTATTTTTTATTTTGCTAAATGTACCCATGCTAATTATATGTACCCAATCATGTAAAACTTTTTAATCTTAAAATGTACTCATTCTTAAATATACCAATTTGTTATATGTAAAATGTACCCTTTTTTTATATATAAAATCTATTCATTTTTTTTTTCTAATCTATTTTAAAACATATATGGGTACATTCTTTTTTCTTTGATTTTAAAATGTATCCATGTCAAGTTTAATCAAAGAAATTTACTAATATTATTAAGCCTAATATCTTTTTTTTTTGATGATTTTGAAGAATGTACCCATGTTTTGATACAATAAAATTTTTGGTTAATTTTGATGAATGCACACACACACAATAGTATATTTATATTTTAATATTTTTAATCCCACAAATTATAGTTTTTTTTATTTAAAATCTCATTTATATAAACAACTAAAATTTCTAATTTTTAATTTAAAAAATATAGTAACGCACATAGAAATAAATTATCACATTAATTTCAGGAACCTCGATAAAAAATTAAAAATCAACAAGATTTCAATAAAAGAATATTCATAACTAAGGATCGCATCCACACTCTCTCTTTTAATTTTTTAACATTTTTTCACATGCAACGAGGCACTCGACCTCTTTCTTCCTCAAAAGATATTAATCTTCTTTTTATGTGACGTATATGCAGGGACAGTGTGGAGTGCGTGTGCACACATAATCACAACATCAATAGGTGCTGGAGTGCTCTCTTTGGCATGGGCAATGGCTCAACTTGGCTGGCTTGGTGGCATTTCCATTCTCTTGTTCTGCACAGTTGGTGCACTTTATGCTGCTACTCTCTTAGCAGATTGCTACAGATTCCCAGACCCAGTCACTGGCAAGAGAAATTACTCTTACATGGAGGCTGTCAAAGCCTATTTAGGTAAAATACTCATACGATTTGGAAACTCTCATGCAAATTTATGCTTGGAAAATGCTCTAGTCCACCGCCCCTACAATTCAAAGTGAATGAACTACCATTATTGCATCAGACAGAAATGGATACGTGGGTTGCTTACCATTCACTTTGAATAGTACGTATAGTAGTAAATTAGAGCATTTTCCGTTATTTTCCATGGTCAAATTTTTATTACTACTATATTTGTCTTTAATTTCTTCAACCTATTAGGTGGAACAATTTACAAGTTCTGTGGATGGATGATATATTTAAATCTTGCTACCATTGGAGTCGGCTTTACGATAACTACGGCAAAGAGCATGATGTAAGTTTTTTTCTTATTTGTTCTTTATTTGCAGACGAAAAATTGAGAAATTAATATCACTAGACTAATAACTAATTCGAATTTTTATGTGAATTTGAGTAATCAGAGCCATACAGAAATCGAATTGCCATCGCAAACATGGTAGTGATGACCCATGCAAGTTCTCCAACATTCCACATGTGATTGCATTTGGAATTGTAGAAATTCTCTTATCACAACTCCCAAATTTTCACAAGCTCTCTTGGCTCTCAAAGCTTGCAGCAATTATGTCTTTTGGGTATGCTTTTATCGGAATTGGACTTTCCATGTCAAAAATCATAGCAGGTAAATTCTCTCCGTCCAAAAAACTATTGACAAAGTTATACGTATGTGGCACTACGTACTCACACAAAAAGTGGGCTCCATTGCATGCACGTTGGTTTCGCCTTAGCCCATCATTTGTGTCGGTAGTACCACGTATTGACATGACGTTCGTATCTAAGAACTTCTTCAAACTAGGATAATGGTACGATCTAGAAATAATTTAAAATTTTGATTGGGCAGGGCATGGAGGAAAAACTTCTCTTGCAGGAGCGGACCTGCCTTTATCTGAAAAAATTTGGAGGATGTTTGCAGCAGCTGGAGATATTGCCTTTGCTTGCTCATATGCTCTAGTGCTTTTGGATGTCCAAGTGAGACATCCCAATTGTCAAGTCAATTAATTAGTTCTTTCTTTTCTCACTTATAAAAAATATACTGAGGCTTTTTCTATTTAGGTTTAGTTTTATACATTATATTGCATTTTATTAATTTTCAGGACACTCTAAAGTCATCGCCACCAGAAAACAAAGTGATGAAGAAGGCTGTGTCAGTAGGGGGTTTGGTTATGTTAATATTATTCACGATGTGTGGTACGTTGGGATATGCTGCATTTGGAGATAAAACCCCAGAAAACCTACTGGCTGGTTTTGGAGATGATGTAGCCTTCTGGCTTGTTGATATGGCTAATGTTTTCATTGTGGTGCATATAGTTGGTGCATATCAGGTACATGTATATACCTTTTCCCTAAATTTATGCTTCTCAAGTGTGCTCAAGCACGAAGACAACAATATCACGTCAGAAGATTTTGTTTTGCTAGCTAGTCTAACACGTTAAGTTCTCGATAACTGACAATCTAAACTCAGTACAATACATTCCAATAGTTTAGTAGCATAAAATGAGGTGAGTAAAAGCGCTCTCAGTGAGTAAAAGCTTTAGCCACCCTATCATCTTGTGCCAATTATGTTAGTGACTGTTGATGATGTTTTCTTAGTGATTATTGATTTAAATCTTGTTTAAATATGTCAAATTAACAATATAATGACATCATATGTCATCTTATAAATATAACATGTTATGAGCTAAGTGAAATATTATATATCTAAATATGTTGTTCAAATTGACATTTTTATTAACATAACAAGTTAGACTATTAACGTATAAACTTAAGGTCAATGTTATTCTATTTGAGTAGGTACTTTGCCAACCGGTGTTTCGTATTATTGAACTATTGGCTAGAAGGAGGTGGCCGAAGTCCAAGTTCATAAATAGGGAGATCCCAATCAGACTAGGGAAGGTAAAGTTCAACATCAACATGTTTAGGCTGTCATGGAGGACAGCCTATGGGGTGTTGGTCTCGTTTCTTGCCATAGCTCTTCCATTCTTCTCCGACATGCTTGGCCTTCTTGGAGCCCTGGGCTACTGGCCACTCATAGTGTACATTCCGTTGGAGATGCACATTGTGCAGAACAAGATTGGGAAATGTACAATTAGATGGTTTGGGCTCCAATTGTTTAGTTTTTTGTGCTTGCTTCTTTCTATGGCTGCAGCATCTGGTGCCATTCATGGTCTGTATAAGGGTCTCAAAGCCTACAAGGTCTTCCAATTTAAAGAGTGAAGTGAACCAAAAATTAGTATATGCTTCGATATCGGCATATAGCTATGTGTATTAGATAAAAGGATTTTGCGAAGAACATACACCTTGGACGAGTTGCAACTGACTTAAGTGTTGTTATTAGACATAATTTGAGAAGTTTACGTAAGAACAATCTCATTAGGCTCTTATACTCCTATTAACTACTCCATTAACATGTTTGGTGTTCAAAAGAACAATTATTTTCTTAATTTTTACATGATGAAGTAGTCTAGTTACTAGATGGGAGACTTTTAATTATGCAGCCTTCATTTTCTACGTTCACATATGCTTTTTTTTTTTTTTTTCCCGAAGGTATTCTGCTTTTTCTTCTCTCTTTTTAAGCATTTCAAACTTCTAAAGTGGTATGTGGAAGCCCACTTAGGCACTTTAGACTAATCTCAATCTTTTTTGGAGCACAAAATTGGATGCATGTCTATGTGCCTATTATCAATGTTATCAAAAGCACCAAATATCAAAGTGCTCTGATAATCTAAAATCACAAGACGTGTGTGATAATAGATTCCAAATTATGTTATAACATCACAATGATCATTTAGTCTAACAATACTAAGTGGATCTGCTTTGCTAGAGGGAGTGCTGAGTTCAAATTTTACAAATGATAATTGTTGATAAAAGAAAGTAGGAGCAAACAGAATAATTAGGATGACATTCTTCTGACATGCCATCTCAACTTTCAACTTAGTTATGAGCTCTCCTAATCTCTTAAAACGTCTTAGTTTACCTTTGGGAACATTCATGTTGGTTATTCTAATATTTTCAATTCTCCCCTAAAAAACATCAGCCTATGACAAAACAATGTTAGCAAGAAATTCAATAGGATGTTGTACACTGCAACCAAATATATTTTCAATTCCAAATTATGTATTTTTTTTTTTTTTTTTTTTTTTTTTTTGTCAATGGTAGAGAACATCCATTATGCGAAATCCAAACGGACAGATTACAACTACAAAGTCCTAAGAATCGGGATACATAAAGAAGACGTTACTTATGCAAACAAAGCATATGAGTAATAGTTATTCATTGCAACAATTACAAAATAGACATAAAAGAAAAATCATAAAAGGGTTTTGAGCTAGTTTGGTATTGCTATGCTTTAAAAAAAAAACTACTTCTGATGTGCTGTGAGAATAAGCAGTTATGAAATAAAGCAGCAGAATGTTTGGTAATTTTTTTGTAAAAGTACTTTTCGAAAAGAAAAAAACAGTATTATAGTGTTTGGTAAACTTTTATGTAAAACAACCGTGACTGTGTAAAATGACCAAAAAATGTATAATACAAAATGTGCCATTAATTCAATTTTCTTAACAAATAAAGGTGAATTATTAAATATACTTTATTTTTAAAAGAAAAATATTTATAAAATTTAACTTAAATATTAATTAGTATGACAAACTATTTCAATTGAAATATTTTAGACTGAATAGTTAGGATTCATTAGTACAATATTGTTAATGTACTCGAAAGTAGTCTGATTAGATGCATTCATCAAACTTGCCGCTATTCTATTTCTTAATGCTTCTATCTCATGTGATCATTCAACTTGATAATTTTGGTATTCATCATCATCATCATCACTATTATCGCTCTCTTCACAAAAGTCCCCGGGGTCATCAAAATGACGATCACATTTAGAATAGCTCTGTATGTAGTTATGAAGAGCCATTGTAGCAATGATAATCTCCACTTGCTTATTGAACGGGTAATTAGGCATACCCCTTAAAATTGACCATCTTTTCTTTCATACTCCAAAAGTTCGTTCAATGATGATCCTAAGAGAAGAATGCATGTGGTTGAATACCTCTTTATGACCCGTTGGTTCGGCACCCTTATGAAAATCCGGGAGATTATATTTTCACCTTTATATGGTCCCAAATAACCTCTCATTTGTGGGTACCCCGCATCTACAAAGTAATATTTTCCTGACAATTGAAAATTTTGTTTTGTATCGTAATAATTATACAAAGCAAGTAGCTGAAGGATTTGACGAAGATGCCCCCTTCTTTGCCATCAATACCAACTAGTGATTTGTGTGTGTGTGTATATATATATATATATATTAAAGCAAGAACAGATGATATTGTAATATAACCAAGAAATCAAACTAATTTGAAATCAAACTATTTTGCTAAGGAAAGACACACCACTTGGAGAAATCAAACTAATTTGAAATCAAACAATTTCTTTATTATTACCACTATAACTCATGTTTGAAACCCACTACTTTTACCTCTAGTCAATTAAATTGGTCCAGAAGGTGCCAATTTGACATCTGGAAGATAAACAATAACATTACTAAGGACAAGATCATCATGCTAAGCAGCTAAAGCCACAGTACCTCCCAAAGACCATATGTAGGCCTTTGACCTCCCAATGCTAAAATTTCACGATTTACCACTGCCCACAAACCATATGTATGCGTGGATCTCCCAGGCTTAAACCATAGACAATCATACTAGCAGAAAGTCTCAAGAAGTTTAACATTAAAGCCATTTGCACCGCAAAAGAGGGTACGTAGGTCTGTTACACTAAAGTCTAAACATTTTAGTATGCCTAGCTAGTAGACACAGATAGAATACATAATTGTAGTAAATGATATAGGCACAGACAGTACTCTGCATCATTTTTGGATGACAGTCTTGATTGTGAGACAATAAAAGACACCAAACACATAAATATCAGGAAATATATGTTCATAAGGAACCAAATCGATTAAAGTAACCAAATCTAACCAAATCGATTAAAGGAACCAAATCTAACCATATTTTTCTACAAATAAACAAAAATTAGACAAATAAAATTAGCAGAAATCATGAAAAGAAGGAAAAAAAAAGAAGATATTAACCAGCCTAAACCAAAAGTTGTGAACCAAAAACTGAAACCTAGTAGTAATTAAAAGAATAACATAAATGAAGAATTCAGAAGAAAAAAAAATATATAAAACACGATAGCAGATGGAGTGAGAGAGATAAGATACGAGCACTGACCTAGAGGTTGAAGTTTCAAAAGAGATTGCGAGAGCTTGAAGAAGACGATGAAACAGCGTCCTAGAGGGTGTGCTGAATCGCAAGAGACGAGAGAACGGCGCATGACAAATCAGAAGTAGAGTTCACAGATCAGAAACAGAGTAGAACTTTATCCTTTCTTATATACCTAAACCCTAAGATAAATCAGAAGCAAAGTTCACAAACTAATTCAAAGCAGTTCACAGAGCAATTGAGATAATGACAAACAAGAAATTAATCTAAAAAAAGTAATCAACAACTATAAAAATGTTTCCTCCAGACCTTCTGAAAAAAAATGAATAGAGAACTTGTAACGTTCTGACCCGAAAATTTTTATTTCGGAATTTACATTTAGTGGTATGCCAAAAATTAAACTCTTGTTTATTTTCTACTATTTATCACAATTCTTTTATTTAATTCTTAGATACTCACAAAATCCATAACCCAAATTTATTTACCAAAAACATAAGGTTAATTTTTAAATTAATCACCCAATTCCTTTTCTTAGACAAATTTCCAACAAAAGATTAATCTCGGTTATTTTTAAGGCTACATCTAACTCCCGTTAGATTGTCTGCGTATCCTTAAACATGATCAAGCCTTTCGTAGTTCACATTCATTGTTTTTTTTCCATCTCCGAGATATTCTAGTAACGGAAATATTCGACATTAGCTTTCATAATCGAATCTGACATCCCCCGACCGAGGCCAAGGCATGCTGGCCGTCACGTGAGAGTGACGTAGCCTTGTGCACAGTGTGGAAGCGATAAAGATAGCAAACATACAAATAATTAAAAACCATATTAATAGAGTGTACTACTAGCAGGAAGTGATAGGAGTTAGTTACAACCGTAAACTCTCCTAATCAGAGCATAATAAGTCTAGGTGCAGTCCAGTAGGACAAGTACTAGTTACACAGTACCAGGAATATCCTACTATTATTCAATATGTCAGAACTGCCGACGATCCCGAGCCACCAACAGCAAACTTACTTAGAACTTGGAGGGGCGGAAAACAGAAAACGTGAGTGGGCAAAAACAAATGTTTTACAAAATCATTTCATTTATCAATATACTAACCCCTCGCTATAAAACATGTATGATTTTCCCAGAATCAAGATATAAGCATATACATATATATATATATATATATATATATATATCTGAAATCATATCAAGTCAATTAATGTTTCACATAATCATATTCCTAGGTATATATGCCATGACAAGATATAATAGAGTAAACAATTCAGGTAAGAATAATTTCATAGAATTGTGATATGTTAGCCAGAACTCCTGTCGTAGTTTGTACGGCTAAATTCATAACTCAAACTCAACCTAGCCGAAGTCACTACTATGACCTATTCGGCAATATACTGCACATAAGTCGGAACCCCTAAAAAGGTCTGTACAACAAGATTGGGTGTAATATAATTATGATCAAACTCTATTCTCTCATAATAGCCGGGCGATAAATCATTAGTCACCTACGAGTCGGAACCATGAATAAGGTTTGTACAACAAGGTTGTGCACTTAAGTCGGATCCAATATGAGCATATAGTGCGGGAGGTGACGTAAATAAACAGGCCTATAATTCATATCTCTGGCTAATTCACAATCACCCTAGGTGCAGCTTTATGAGCTCAACATTACTTAATCACATATCACATATCACATCATCGATGATTCACACAACCAAACATAACCTACATGAACTCACCTGTGCCTCCACAGCACCACATTCATATATATATATATATATATATATATATATATATATATATGCAACCATGCAATGCATATTCAAAATATAGAAGCATTTGGCATATTATTTCTAAGCATACTTTCCTTTAAAAATGCATTTCTGGGAAATATATCAAGTATATAAGTATATACTGAAAACAAAAGGCCACTCACTAATATGTCGAAGGGTCGTAGCCCCCGAGTCGCCCGTGTATACGCTCGTCCTTGGGATAAGCCTCACCTATATGCGAATTAACTATAAAAACGTTATTTTAAAGCACATATACATAACTAGCTAATAACTTATCATACATTGTTCAATTTTGGTATTTAAATATACCAACGTGACCTACACAACCTCATGAACATCATGATATTTTTAGATAAATTTTTAGGTGGCTCACGCGCCCCCACACGTCGGGGAGGGCACGACTTTACGCGCCCAACACGCGCATCATCTTCAACCTCTAGACGCCAGAATAGTGCCACTGGCGCCGAATTCTGGGCAGACCTGTAATTGCCCATTTCTCTCTCGTTTTTGCACCATTTTCTACGAAATCTTCACCCAAATATCACAAATTTCAAGAGGAAGAAGGTTATACCTCTTTGGAGCCTCAAATCCTTCGAAAACATGTCGGAAAAATCTCACCAAAACCAGCCACCTTCGAACCTCGTGATCTCGACGTCCAAAACCTTCAAACGAAGCACTCCGAGCTTCCTTGGGACCTCACTAAGCTCGCTATGAGCTTGGATTGTCCTAAAATACAACCATTCGAAAGTTCATGAATAGTGCTCAACCCAGAGCTTGAGTTTTCAACGTGAAATCGAACGGGTTCTTACCTGAAATGGGTATCTTTGTACTCGTATGGTCCTCACGAACATAATGGTACCAATTTCTTCTTCGATCCATGATGATTTGGCTTGGTTTGACCTTGTCCATTCGGAGGAGAGGGAAGAGAGAGAGTGAGTCTGAGAGAGAGTACGGGAGAGAGGAGAGAGAAAAGGTATGGATGTGAGTGTGTGGTTCCAAAGTGTACACCAATCACAACCAAAAAATTTCTTACTTCCAATTGGGTCCAAATTAGTAGGGACTTAATACATTGGTCCTCAACCACAACCACACCTAGTCCCATGATGCCACAAACGCTCGAGGGCATTTTAGTATTTTCACATCAACGATAACAAAATAATGTACATTTCCGGGACGGGTTGTGATAGAATCACATCAAATGGGTACAAATTACGAATTTAAAATATCAAAATTTACATGAAAGACAACGTCAGCCCACTGGCCACGCGCTGCCGTGGGTGGCGGTTTCCGGTGAACGAAGACTCCATTTTCTGATCAACTCTAAAAATTTCCAAATTTTACAGGCAAGTAGAGTTCAATGAGAGGAACAACTTTCATACTTGGGCCAAAATCTAATTCGACCGGGAAACACCTCAACTCGACCTCGATCCATCGAAAACCCTAGAAATGGGTGGCTTCCAATCTCATAAAAAAAACCGAGTTAAATGGGTTTGATTTTGGGATAAACTCACCAGTGGGTTCGTGGGGGTACGACTCAAATTCCTCTATTTTTGGTAGTACAATCGACCACCACCATCAAACAACTCATTTTGAGGTCTGGAACAAAGCCCAAACAACTTAGGGGCGTGATAAATAGTAGAAAATAAACAAGAGTTTAATTTTTGGCCTACCACTAAATGTAAATTCCGAAATAAAAATTTTCGGGTCAGGGCGTTATAGAAGTGATCAATTTTTCTTACTTCTCTTTCAATTTTTCTTCTTTCCTCCACAAACCCTAATTTTTTCCCAATTAATATTTTCCACAAACCATATCACCTTCCCCCAATTAATTTTTTCCCGACCCTCCATCCCCAATTTTTTTTCCAGACACCCATACACCCATCCCTTTGTTCTTCCCACCCCTCTTTCACTCTCTCTCCCATCCCCAAATTTAAAAATCCAAACAAATAAATAACGAAATTTTAGACAAGAGAAGCTTACCAGAGGAAGGACGCTGAGCCGGAGAACGCGACCCGGAGAATGAGAGAGATCCCTGGGATGAAGGATGGCTTCTTTCAGATCTAGTGTAGCAAATTGGATTCTGAATGAGATTGGGGGGAGATTGGGTCAAGAGGGTAAGTCGGGGTTCGAAAATGGTTGGAATCAAATAGTGTAGGAGTTTTACGTGGCAGGAGGTTCCTGCTTGAGCTGGGATTGAAGTTTTTTGGTTTTGCAAGGGTTTTGCGAGAAGGCATGCTGAAAGTGTGAGGAAGGCAAGAGAAAGGAGAGCAATGTTGGCAAATTGAAAAATTCATTAATGAATTTACTCTTCACCCTTGTTTTTCAAAATAAGCTGGTTCTTTGAAGGTTTTTTTTTTTCATCCAAAACTTTAAAATAAAGCTGGTTTGGAGTGTTTACCAAACACGATAAACTCTCCCATTTTTTTTATACCCATTTTTTTTAAAAAACATCTCAGTACCAAAACAATACTTCAACTCATAAAAAAAAAAGCTTAGGTGAGAGATAACCCGCTGCAGCTGCCCAAAAACCAGAAGTAGCTGACAACACACACCGCCAATTCTCCACCACAAAATAATATTTGTTCACCCTCTACATTGTGCCATATACAGATCTTCAAACTCCAAATAATAAACAAAACTAAACCACAAACAAAATATGTGCATCATTCCTTCTAGATGCATGGCCCGTCAGTTTGTTCTTTACTCCACCAACTAGATAAGTTCGTCGTCCCTTCTGGATGCATGGCCCATCATGTTTCTCTAAAGCATATGCTAAAAATTCGACCGTTTTGCTCAAGCGATGCTCTATGGGTAGGGGACTTAGTTTTCTAAACCAACCGAAAATTACATATTCAGCCACCAAAAGTGCATATGTACATGCTCTATTTTCAAATCGTTTTCCATCTTTCTCCGACTTACCTAACCAATTAACCGTTTATTATGTTATACATAATTTACTTGATATACATTGTTGACTTATTTATTGTAAAAGGTCGGATTTCAGTAACTTACTGTATCTCTTGAATGCTTAAAGCTTTTTGGTTTTTTTGTTGTATAACATTTACTAGATCTATATAGTTTCATTTTTCTTTCTTTTTAATCTATCTTCGTTTTTTTTGGTTCAAACTTTTAGTCTTGTTAAGTGATTGGTTCTTTGATTTTTCCACTCAATTTACTGCTTGTTGAATGGCAACAGTCGTATAGGCGGCCGTGGCAATGAGTGTGTCCAAAAGTTGAGAGGTCTTTAATCTTTATGAAGTTCTTTTGAAAAAGGACATATTTTGACTATCATGCATATTGGGCTGGTTTGGTATTGATGTGCTTTGAAAAAAACACTACTTCTGCTGTGCTGTGAGAATAAGCAGCTGTGAAATAAAGTAGCTGAGTGTTTGATAAATTTTTTTGTAAAAGTGCTTTTGGAAAAACAAGTAGTATTATAGTGTTTGGTAAACTTTTATGTAAAACAACTGTGACTGTGTGAAATGACCAAAAAAGGTATAAACTAGATGTGCCATTAATTTAATTTTCTTCACCGACAAATTCCACTCCCTTATCGAAGACCACTACCGTAGCAACACCAATTGCAATCCCTCGAACACAATCCTTGCTATCTCGACGAAGATTTGGGAGAAGTCGCGGGAGAGTTCCCACTGAATGGTCTGTTGCATTTTTCACAAGTTTTAAATTGGGGCCACAACAGCTTGGTGAAAATTATTCAAATGCTTCTATGCCCACCTTATTAGCCAAGTGAGTATCCATAGATGAGTATCTTGAAGGGTACTTAGTCGAGAGGAGTAGTAGATAGGGAAAGAAGATGAAGATGCTTGAACTAGGAATGCAGGATATAAGAACATATTTCAAGCTCTTCTTGTTACGTCTGTTCTGTTAATGTTCATGTTCTGTTCCAAAATTTCAAAAAAGCAAGTGTCCTAGACCAATTGTTTCTGCTATTGCAATCTGATATTGAGAAACAACTACGTGTTAGAGGCTTCGTGTTGTACTGTATTGATCGGCCAGCTTCCCTTCACCCATGACGCCTTTGCGGGATGCCTCGAGTAGGTCGACGTCGTCAATGTCCATGGCCATGGTGGAGCTCTGGTCTTCCATGTCGTTGAAGAAGTCCATTGTCTCCAGCCTCATCACTCCAAAACCTAGATTACCCAGAATCGTAGATCACCCACATTACCCAAAAATCCAAATCTTCCAATTCTACCTTCCAATTATTCAATTCAATATTCCAATTACCTAGAATTAGAGTTGAAAAAAAAGGAAATTTACCTTTTTATTGATGAAGAGTGCTCGAACCAGATGAGAGGGAGAGATCGTGCTCGAACGGAGGGAGAGAGCTGGAGAAAGGGAATGGGTGAGAGAGAACATTGAAAAGACGAGTGAGGGTAGGTTTGGGAATTTGGAAGTTTCATTAAATGAACATTATTCATTCGTGTTTTGGAGAAAATAAGCTGGCCTTTCAAAGCTCATTTTTGCTACTTTATATTTTCAGCTTATTTTCATCCAAAATCGCAAAAATAAGCTGTTTTTAAGTGTTTACCAAACATCTTTTTAAGCTCAGTTTTTTTTTTATACCCACTTTTTATAAAAGCACCTCAGTACCAAACCAGTACTTAGTCAATGACCAAACCATGATTATAAAAATTTAATGGGAAAATTAGCTAATTAAAAAAATTTAAGAAGGTAATCAGTTAAAATTAAAATTTCGGGAGGGGGGGAAGGGAATTGGCAATTGCATACAAGTTCAAGGGACAAATCAACAAATACCTCTATTGATTTTTATACACAAATTAATAGTACAGACAAATTATCTGAAAAAAGTTGAGGTTTTGCCATAAAAACAATTGTAATATGAGAAGTTTTTATAAGGCCTTACGAGGAGCGACCATCACTGTTGTGACTCTTTGATTTTCATATACTCACTCGCATTTTCATGTGTGGAGAATTTTCAAGGCACACATATCGTTAACATAAATTGGGTGACATAGAGCACGGATGACCTTAAGCTTCACATGTAGGTCATATGCTCTAATGTCATAAAAAAAATTAAAAGTTCATTGCAAAACTAATTATAAATATAAAGAGCAACCCAAAGTATGAAATTTCCTGTCACCTGTCATTGTATGAAATTTCCTGTCACCTGCCATTGTCCTTCTAGTTCGTGGAATTTGTACTCTTTTTGACTTTTGATATAAACTGAACATAGACATTGAAAATCATTAATTTAAAAAAATATAAGATATAGGCTTAACAGATATTGGAAAAAGGATATTCACACATCATTTTTTATCTTCTACATATTTTCGATTATTAGATTGAATGAATTAAAAGAAATTAATAAAGGGTGTGCGAATAGCACCATCCTTAAAGAAATGATTTATAAAAAATAAAATAAAAATTAAAGCAAAGGCCCATGTTCCTTTTCATATTCACGCATATGCCCCTCAGTCACTTTTCGTAAGCTCGGAGATTATGAACGTAATATGCCACTCAACTAATCACCGTCACATTGAAAAATTTATCAAAATGACAAATAAATGTCTCTTTCAACATGTAAAAAAATGTATTTCTAATCTATCTTCTCACGCCATATCAAGAGATTAGTAAAACTTACATCCGCAGCTTAGCATAATCATTAGTATTAGAATATAAGCTTTGTTATCGATATTTCAGTCTACTAGTAACTGCATTACATCACCAAACTAATCAAACAATGAATTTTAATTGAAATATTCTTCAAGAATATTAGATTATAATTAAATCTAACTAGATAGAGATTAGCAGCCCCTAGATTCTGCTTTATTACTTAATATTGTTAAACGATCCATATTTTCCTTAGACAAGAGACAAGAAAATTAAAACAAGACCATACCAAATAATTATTTTTTTTCAATTTCTCCCTAAACATATGATTATTAGTAGGTTTGGAAATTTTTTACATGATCTGTTAATTCGACACGAAACGACACAAAAATAATAGGTTTTGAGTCAACCTGTTAACGATTCGGATCGTTATCAGGTGGCTCATTAAGAACACATTAACAAATCGGGTCATTATCGGATCACCCATTAAGAACATGATGAGATATTGTTTGTCAGATTTAGACATTAAACATGATAATTTATTGTACAACCCATTAACTTGACACAAAACAACATAACTCGTTAGCAAATTGGGTCGTTATCTGGTCATCTGTTAATAACCAGTTAAAATAACGAATTTAACACGATAAGACACGTTAAAATAACGGATATGACAAAAAAAGGGAGACGAACACGACTCGTTGTCAGGTTTACTTAATAGCTCCACTTGATGCGTGTCAAAATAAACCTCTAAGTTGACTAAAACAACACAATTATTATCATTAAATCAATGTCTGTGGCATAATGTAATTTTGGCCATTGTGGGTGGCATTTCTACACGCAGAAACGCATATAATCCCGCGGTCCAACCCAACCAAGTTTGAATAGCAGCAGTTGCCTCTCCCACATTTTCCCGGTAAAACACCCAACCGGAGCAAACGAACTAAGCCACATGAAATGTCGAAAACACCCCTGCCACTCCCTTCCTCCCTTCTCCTCTTCCTCCTCATCTCCCTACCCTTGATCGTAATTTCACAATCCACAGAGCAGTCAATCCTCCTCAAGATCAAAGCGCAATGGGGAAATCCACCGTCCATCCAATCGTGGAACTCCTCCTCCTCACCGTGCGAGTGGCCGGGGATCAACTGCACAAACGGCATGGTCACTGGGCTCTCCCTCCCCGATGTAAACATCACGGAGAGAATCCCGGAGGCCGTCTGCGAGCTCCCAAACCTCGCAGAGCTCCACCTCGCCTGGAATTACATTCCAGGCGAGTTCCCGAAATTTCTCTACAACTGCTCGAATCTCGAAGTCCTTGACCTCTCGCAGAACTACTTTGTCGGCCCAATTCCCCCCGATATCTACCGGATGTCGCCGTCTCTTAAGTACTTGGACCTCGGAGGAAACAATTTTTCCGGCAACATTCCTGCGGCCATCGGCCGGCTGACGGAGCTGAGGACACTCAGGCTTTATTCGAATCTGTTCAACGGGAGTGTTCCGCGGGAGATCGGGAACTTGTCAAATCTCGAAATATTCGAGATGCCTTATAACGGAAAATTGGCTGCGGCCAGCATCCCAACGGAGTTCGGGAATTTGAAGAAGCTGAAGAGCTTGTGGATGATGGATACGAACTTGATCGGAGAGATTCCGGAGAGTTTTTCAGGTCTCTCGAGCCTCGAGAACTTGAATCTTGCGAGGAACAATCTGGAAGGGAAGATTCCAGGTGGGTTGTTTTTGTTGAAGAATTTGAGCGACTTGTTTCTCTTTAACAACAAATTTTCAGGGGAGATTCCGCCGGCTGTCGAGGCGTTGAATTTATCTCAGATTGATCTGTCCATGAACAATTTGAGCGGCTCGATCCCACAAGATTTTGGGAAGATAAAGAATCTGACTGTTTTGAATCTTTTTTCGAATCAATTAACGGGTGGGATTCCGGAGAGTTTAGGCCTAATTCCGGCGATGAGGGTATTTCAGGTCTTTAAGAACATGTTGAACGGGACCTTGCCGCCGGAATTAGGCCTTCACTCGAAGCTCGAAGCTTTTGATGTCTCCGGGAATCAGCTGAGCGGCTCTCTGCCGGAACAATTATGCAGCGGAGGAGTTTTGCAAAGAGCTGTTGCCTTCTCTAATAATCTTACCGGAGAGTTGCCGAAAGGGCTTGGAAATTGTGATTCTTTGCGGTCACTGAAGGTCTACCACAACCGTTTTTCGGGTGAGATTCCTTTAGGAGTTTGGACCGGACTAACTCTGTCGAGTTTGATGCTGAGTGACAATTTGTTTTCGGGTCAGCTTCCCGCCAGCAAGCTGGCTTGGAACCTATCGAGACTGGAAATTAGCAACAACAGATTTTCCGGTGAGATTCCGGTTCAAGTTTCGTCCTGGGAACGTTTGGTTGTTTTTAAGGCGAGCGGAAATCTGTTTTCGGGGAAAATCCCAGTTGAACTGACTAGTCTTTCTGAGCTGAACACTCTGCTGCTTGACGGGAATCAATTTTCGGGCGAATTACCATCTCAGATCATCTCATGGGAATCCTTGAATACTTTGAACCTCTCAATAAATGCGCTTTCGGGCCACATTCCAGCAGCCATTGGTTCTTTGCCTAACCTGCTATACTTGGACTTGTCCGGGAACCAATTCACAGGCGAAATCCCAGCTGAGTTCGGCAGCTTGAGGCTCAGTTCTCTTAACTTGTCTTCCAACAAGCTTTCCGGCAAAATCCCAGATGTGTTTGATAATCTCGCGTATGGAAACAGTTTCTTGAACAATTCGAATCTTTGCGCCAATAGTCCAGTTCTTAACCTTCCCGGTTGTTACACCAAAGTCCGTGTCTCCCACAAGCTGTCCTCGAAAGTCCTTGCCATGATTCTAGTCCTTTCCATCGCGGTGTTCCTTGTTAGTGTTCTATTGACCTTTTTCGTGGTCAGAGACTACCGGAGGAGAAAGCGCGGTCAGGACTTGGCAACATGGAAGCTCACCTCATTCCACAGATTGAATCTCACAGAGTTCAACGTGTTGGCGAGTTTGACGGATACCAATCTCATTGGAAGTGGAGGTTCAGGGAATGTTTATCAGGTTAGCACCAACTGCCCGGGTGAATATGTCGCGGTGAAAAGGATTTGTAACACTAACAGATTGGATGAGAGGCTTGAGAAAGAATTCAATGCTGAGGTTGAGATACTGGGGACAATTCGCCATTCGAACATTGTTAAGTTGTGGTGCTGCATTTCAAGTGACAATTCGAAGCTTCTTGTGTACGAGTACATGGCAAATCAGAGCCTCGATAAGTGGCTACATGGGAAGAGGAGAAGGCCAGCATCAGGGCTGGGTGTGGCTAATCACGTCGTTTTGGACTGGCCGATGAGGTTGCAGATTGCGATAGGGGCTGCACAAGGCTTGTGTTACATGCACCATGACTGCTCTCCGCCAATAATTCATCGTGATGTGAAGTCCAGCAATATCTTGTTGGATTCTGAATTCAAGGCTCGAATAGCAGATTTTGGACTGGCAAAGATTTTTTCCAAGGACGGAGATCATCACACAATGTCCGCTATCGCAGGCTCCTTCGGCTACATGGCACCAGGTAAGAGCTTAAATTGTTCTGTTTAGCATTCATATATTTCGGACATTGCTTACATTGTACGACATTTTGCTTTTCAGAGTATTCTTATACAACAAAAATCAACGAAAAGATAGACGTCTACAGCTTCGGGGTTGTACTCCTGGAACTAACAACCGGGAGAGAACCCAACTGCGGAGATGAGCATACGGGCCTAGCAGAATGGGCATGGCGGGAATACAGCGAGGGAAAGACCATAACTGATGCCCTCGATGGGCAGATCGCAAAACCGTGTTACTTGGAAGAGATGACCACCGTGCTAAAACTAGGACTCATCTGCACCAGCACATTACCTTCAACTCGTCCTTCAATGAAGGAAGTTCTGCACATTCTTCGCGGCCATGGTCCGCCGGAAGGTTTTGAAGTGAGAAAGGTGGGAAGTGACTTTGATGTTTCTCCCCTCCTCAGCACTGCCACCTACCTTTCCAGTTACAAACGCGGTAAAGAGGTGGACGATAGCTTAGTTTACAGTGTGTAATGTACATAATAATTGAGAAGAAATCTCGCCGTGAATATATGCCGGCGGGAAAGCATCGGTAGGGGTTCCATATCGAATTTCCAACTAGTTTCAACTTTCAAGATCAGTATAGCTTTATACATAAGAGACGGGAAGCATTGTAAACACTTTTGGAGTCATAAGCTTCTTAGTCTCAGTTTTGCAGTAAATGTTCACTTGGTACTGCTGTTTCGATATCGTGACAAAATCGAGCTTTTATTTCCACAGAGAGAGAGAGAGAGAGAGAGAGGGAGAAATGCTAAAAATCTGTATTACAATGGCGGGTTGTACAAACTCCAGAAGTTTGATGAGTGTTTAATTTATATATAGACAATAAGAAAGCAAAACCCCTCACAGCCTGCTCAGCTCAGTTCTTGATGAACTCTTGCCCTGATAAAAGTGACTTCCATACAAATCTATACAGCTCAAATAACAGGGTTCTTGGCGACTGCAATGACACTTTTTCATGAATTCATGGTGCTTAACTTTAGCAGGCCACATTGAAGCCGAAGATTGCAGCATTCTGTTTTGCACGGATGAAACTTCCACACTACTTTGGAAAGGCATCACACACCTTGAAACCGTAATGAAATCCACCAGTTAAAATGGCACTTACCCTTGTGCTACCTTTTTTTCCTTGGAAAAGTGAGATTCCACCATCAATGATTTGTTGCCGAAAGTTGAAAGGTCATTCCAATGACCTCAGATTTCACCTGTTGCAAAAGAGCCACCAAACAGGCCAGTATAAAAATATAATGGTTTGTTTAAAAAATATTATGAGTTGCAAATGCATGCCTTACTGTTGGCCTCTGCATAGATCCTGACCTAGCTCCATTTTCAAAATTGACGGTACTCCCGATTGCTACAGCTGGCTCTACAATACAAGATCGAGAATAAAAAGACTTTTCAGGTTCCTAAAAATGTGTTGGAGAAAAGAGATGAGATAAACACGAAGGGTACACAAAACTTGTAAGGTATTAAGCACAGTTACTGGGAACAAATCACGTATAGTGGTGCAGAACCTGCCACCACAATATGCACCAGTTTAAAGACATTGTCTGTGCTAAAAAAAGGAAAATAGAGAAAACATGTATAGGAGAGTTTATGTTAAAACCTTAACCTCTTCTGACAAGGCGTTTTGAAATACCCTATTCGCATTTATAAAGCACCATTTCCCAAGCAACTCTGGCAATTCCAAAAGTGAATCATCCTGCAAATATCCCCTTCTCCCACCATCTTCTCCAGAACTTTCAGTTTTCTCACTTCCATCTGGTACATTTCCTAATCCAGAGTTCACAAATCAAGTAACTCACTTTGCAATTGAGTTTATGAGTGATAGAAGTGACCCCAATGCACATTCAGCATTCTCCACCCCCGTCTTCCGACTACATGGTTTGACTAGTTCTTGGTCAACATCAATAGCATCTGCTGTCCAATTCAGTAGTCTTCCAGTAGAGTCAGCCTCCAAAGTCTGCATTCAGCCAATGTCACATTTCCAATTCTGTACTTATTTAGGCCATCTCACATGTTTCCTTGGACTCTGAGATAGAAGCTGCACATGGAATTACCAGCTCCTTCCAGGGAAGAGGTTTCTCCAACTGTTCAGATGGTTTTACCTCATAATCCTCTTGTGAAGGCTTGACCTCATTTCTGACTTTGGGGAATTCAGGAACATGCATAGATGTGCACTCGCTTATAGTATTGGATTCGTACACAACATTATCAACCATTCTCACGTTTCCAACACTTCCCCTTTCACTCTCTAACTGTTCAACAGGCAATCTACTATCAGATTTCTTTTCTGCATCTCCAGTTGCCAGACACTCTAACCTAATGCTGTTACTGAAGCTGGTATCAGGTGCTCCACCTGTACTACTTTCTGGGGCCACAGACTCCATCAATTGTGAACTAACAGATGTCTGCTTCTCGAGTTTGATTGCCCTCACATCCTCTGTTTTATGATCAATTTTCCTCCTGGTATGTCTTTCCGCAGACCCAGAACTACAACCTGCAGAATCTTCATAAGTTCTTTCGTCGTGCTGACTTACATGCCTTGATAATCGAGGCCGCTTACACCCATCGGGGAAAACAAAGGGAGGAAGCTGCTTCCGGCGAACATGAGAAACATATATATCCATCCCGGGTTTCCAGAACATGTACATGTTTATTCCTTCCCTGAACTCATCGACTGTTCCACGTATATCAAATTGCTGACCTTCTTTACCTCTCACTCCCTCTTTCCTCTGCAAACCCATAAAGAAAGCACAGTGCGGGCATTGCTTGGATACGTCGACATATTCCTTAGGATATGGATGGCACTGCAGCATCCCTTTCGTGTCTCGCTCTATCTGCACGGAGATAAAATGCAAAACATTAAGAGGAAAACCACTATAAAAGCTTTCAAAACAACTCCAGAAGAAACCGTTTACCTTCAGGGTAAGCTGTCTAAACCGGGATTCCACCCATCCCTTCCACGTCAGCAAGTCATCAACATCAGCTGCAACTATGTCCACTTGTAGATAATTTTTGTATGCCTGAAAGAAGAGATAAGGTTCAAAGAGAGCACTCCACTGGGCCTTATTCAGCTCAATCTCCTGTAATAAAACCAAAGGGCAAAGGCAATCAATAATGAAATAAAACCAGCCAACGCAAAAAATATTCAATTCATGCTCTCACCTCACATATCCTATTACCATGGTCAAACTGCTCCGCCATAACACGTAAAGTACTTACTGAGACATTGTAACTAGAGTTCATGCAAGGGTATGCAGGAGTTATTATTGGCATATGATGAAGGCGGTCCCGAGGGTTTTTACGAGGGTCCCATGTAGGGAACCCAAGTTCATTCTCTTCAATTGAACATAAAATTACAGGATTTGGCCAACGCCACTGAGTATACACTCTGAAAAATTTGGAAACCAACACGCTAGGAATTGCATTGGGATAAAGCTGGCATATCCGAGCAACTAAGATAGCCCAATTTACACCACCAAGGAATCCAGTAACCTATACACAATAGAAAAAAACAATAAATATGACATTTCATAAGTGTAAAAATAATGAGTTATTAATAATGAAATTCTGAACATCTCTGAACACAGCAAAACTTACATTTGAATAAACACCACGTCTTTTAGCCCAAAACTTCAAACATCTGAGTGTCGTCCGGAAGTGCTACAGTTAAATAGAGTGTCACACCTTGAGTCAATTAAACCACAAAAATAAACCAGGGCAAGAGATAAGACGTGATCAACCTCAACATTGGGGACAAGTTTAAGAATTTGATCTGCAACCCTGCAGCCGTTCAGACTTCGAACAGTTTGCTCATCAACATCATATAGCACAGATCCATATGAGATGTCTACATCCTGTTGACAAGCATGTTCCAACACCACATCAATATCATAAAGAACACCAGGATCACTCTTTGTTATCTCTATCATGGTAGCAGTGTATGCATCTTCAAATGTTAGTAATAAACCGATTTTCCACACTAGTACCAGAACCTTAGATGGCCCAGCTGACAAAACAAGTGAGGAAGGATAAAAGGTCGTACCCAATGCACAAGGCTCCCGCTTTACGCAGGGTCTGGGTGAGGAAGGATGCAAGAGAAAAATTACATTGGCTCGGAAATAGTTTTTCATATATGGTCATATATGGTCATATGGTCATGAAACACAATGAAATGGATAAACAGAACAAATAGCAATAGATTTTAAGAATATGTGTTCTGTACTTACTTCTGGAACAACCAAAAGAGAGATGCTTGCATACAAAAGATCTATTGATATTCCCTGGAACTTGAATTTCATGACGGGGACATGAGCATCAGGAACTGGTTGAAGTTCAGTAACCTCTTCCAATTCAGCAAGGATATCATGCAATATAATAAAGAAATCTTCCTGCAGAAATAGTCAACTGTGAGGTAGAGCAGCAGGTAACAATTCTGGTCGAACAAATTAAGAAAGAATCGGTCACAATTATGGTCAAACAAATTAAGAAAGAATCGGGACTATACATATGAATATGTATGCATAAATCACCTCTCGATTCACATATGATGGCCCAACACACAAAGTGTCTATGTCAGCTCCAGGCCCATGAACCTGTCACAGAAATAAATACATCAATAATAATACAGGTACCATGGCCATAATGCTACTGGGCACAAGTAGTGTAACAAGTTCTGCACTCAGTAGTTGGACCACACAATCAAAGCAAGAACAAAGCTAGGTATGTACTATAACATCTAATAAAGTAAAGTTGAGTAAACGATCACAACAGCAGCAAATTATAAAATAAGACTGATCACATAGGAGTTGTTCACTGTTGTGGAACTAACTGTTCTCATAGATGCTTCTGATGATCCTCAGGTGTTTTATATGTTTGCATGATCACATCCACTGGCAATGGCATCAATTTCAATGAACAAATAAGACTGATCACATAGGAGTTGTTCACCTTGGTGGAACTAACTGTTCTCATAGACTGAAGCATTGATGATCCTCTGATATTTTATATGTTTGCATGATCACATCCACTGGCAATGGCATCATTTTCAATGAACAAAGTCCTAATAAGGGCTTGTTATTCTTATAAGGTTTCATTATAAATGTGAACCGTCCAGTAGATTTTAATATCAGCATTATCCTTGGCTAATTGACATGTACCAGTTTTTTCATTACAAAGCATGGATCCTTGCTTGCCACATCCAAGCATATGAGTGGCAAATCAAATCACCAAAAACGGATAGCATACCATTGTAGATCATAACCCAAATCTGTTCGTGAAACTCCAGAGATAAAATTGTATCCCCCACCATATAAGAACAACATGAGTTACAAGGTATACTTGTAAACAGAGTTACTTTTCATAAGGATTCGACGTGATCATGGAGTGCCGGCTGTCGACTACCTGACGCCCTCCCCCTCCTCCTTTATCCGGGCTTGGGACCGGCAATGTAAGATACATAGGCGGAGTTGTAAACAGAGTTACTTAGAGGGAAAAATAATCAACTGTGGATCCACTACGAATTCAAACATAACATACCTATAAAAATGATTATACAAAGCAAAAGAAATTGATGTTGCACTACTACTAGAAGTAATTGTTGGAACTGATATTTACCCCAAGACGATAAGACCCAAAAGTAAAAATGACAGCATTCGCGTCCTCCACCATCTGATCTGTGTAGCCTCTTTCACTTGTCAACTGCTTCACCCAGCCTTTCACAATCTACAGTAAAAATAAACTCAGTATAACCATTGGTAACCTCATTGAACGAAAATACAATCCAACTGAAGCGAAATGCAAGCCTTCAAATCTATAGATGTTTAATATACCACATGGCGCATCAATGATGACAGTAATGGTAAACATAAGCTAAGAATCCAAAGGGAACCAAATAATAAAATTTTGGGCACATTTGATGTCTAGGATTGGCTTGGACAATCAACTAGATTCAATGAATGTTGAATAGAAATATAGATGTCAATTTGCATATTTTGTCCAAGTGGATATGATCGAGAAGTCATGAAGAAAACTTGTCCCTTTCAATCCTACCATTTTTGTGGGGATTAGGAGGGATAAGTTTTCTTCATGATTTCTCCATCTTCTTCCATCACTTGGACAGAATATGCAAGTTGGCATCCAAATTTTCATTCAACATTAATTGAATTTAGTCAGTTGTCCAAGCCAAGCCAAGGCAATCCTAAGCATCAAATGAGGCCTTTAGGTCACACACAACTGACAGTATGCACAGAACAACCCTACACTGGTAATGCCTTAAATCGACCCGCCAATTGTGATAAAATTCTTAGTCATTCCCAATATCATCAGAAAAAAAGACTTCCATTGTAACTATAAGGGTCACATCACTGATATACCAACAATAGAACAGTGAACTATATACCTGATCAATGCGACCAAGAACCTCTTCTCTCTTCGCAGCCTCGTCTTTACTCTCGTAAAGTCCCGAATCAATCAAGTACTACCAAAATCAATAGAACAGATAAAATCAGCAACTTGCAAATCAAGCCAACTAAAAATAACCAATCTTTAGCATCATAAAACAGATTTATGTACGCATCCATGTACCTTTTCGAGTTCGACATTTCGTTGAAGATCATACTCGGTAGGACCGGAAAGGAAGATTGGCCTGGTGGTGCCGTAGTGCTTTGGCGGCTGCTCAGCCGGGGAAGAGGCCACTGGATCCTCAGAACCCGCCATTTCAGCACTCGAGCTATCAAGATTGAGTATTTATCGAACCTAATTGAAGAAATTGTTTAGGAAACTGGGGTTTAGAAGGCAATTCGAGAAGAGAGTGTGAGCTGCTGAAACAATCGGAACCCTAATTCGTCGGCGGAGGAGAATCGGACATCTAATTGGTTGGTGGAGGAGACGGGAGAGAGTGAGAGCGATCAGAATTGGGCAATGAGAGAGAGGATTCAGAAGTGGCGGTAGAGACGGTTAGGGTTCGATCGGATGCGGAATAGATTAAATTAAAGACCCTGCGCACGTTACGTCCAGCTAGTCTGTTCCGTTTATTAAAATTACATTAAACTCCCAAAAATTTGATTTATTTCACTTCATAGGTTTTATTATTTTATCACAAATGGTTTTTGACAATTTTTTTTTTATTTTATCAAAAGTAGTCCATAAAGTTAAAATCTATCAATTTAATCTGTAAAGTTTACAACACATCAATTTACTCATTCCCTTAAATTCTCTAATCTTCCTCCACCCTCACTCCCTCCAATCTATCTGTCTTCAACGGCGTCCATCTTCGAGGTCTCGCTTCAAATCGAGCAGTTGTCCATTGCAGACTTGGGAAGTAATGCAGTGAATTGCCATCAACCCATCTTGTAGCCCTAGTTTCTGACCTTCCCATTCAACATGCCACATTTGCTACTCTTACAAAACTTTGGTGAATACGGTTGGGTTAATACCATGAGTTACGAGTTTGAAGATATATTTTTTTAATTATTGTAATAATTTTGGATCTTTCTGGTTAATAATAATAAATTTAAAAAAAAAATATTTGGTAGCCAAAAAAACGATTCTAGTTTATTCTAGTCACGAAAAATAACGAGAATGACTTTACACCTAAACCATTGTAAAGTTTGGGAGTTCGATCAAAAACAAAGTTTCGGGGGTTAATTGTGGAAAACAATCTTTCAGCCGCTAATTTCATAAAAATGATAACATTTGGGTGACATTTGTATTAAAAAAAAAACGATTCAAAAGTTTTTATAAGAAAAAAAATATGTTTAGCCGGTAACGTCACTGTCGCTGTCCGTTTGCTATTCACAAAGCGGGAAGCGACTAACCAATCACCGCACTCACATTGCCTCAAGAGCTCCGGACGCCTAGATACATGCGCCTCCACCCACTACTTCCCCTCCTCCGCCGCTCTAATGGCGCGTTACATCCCACGCGCCGCCCTAATTTCCAGCTCATCGTTTCCATCTGCGCCGGGTTTAATCTCCACTCCAAAAACACACCGCATTGAGGCCTCCGTATCATAGGTATTTGGCCGGAGACTTCACTTGACGCTCGGAGACAAATGGAGGTGTGCAGCCAGACCGCCACTGTTAAAGGGACGAAACTGCAGTTCGCAGAAAGGCGAAAGAAAAGGTTCGGCGGCGGTCCCTGAAAAGCAAGGAGAAGGAGCTCGAGCTCGATGTCAGTATTTCTATCCAAGAAGCTTTGAACGATCCCGAAATCTTGGTATGTAACTATCAGTCTATCACCAACTGTTTGTATAAATGTCTCTTACGTAATACCAGTATAGCTGATTGGCTGAAGTGAAATGGAGTTTGAAAATTGCAGAGAATTGTGGAACTGCTCCGGCTGGATGCTCCGGTGGCAGTGAAGCTAGCGTTTGATGGGCTGAAAGATTCAATGTATAAAACAAGGGACAATGCTATAGGCGGTGTTGCGGGATATGAAAGTGTGGAGCTTTCGGTGCTTCTTTGCTATAACGAGTTTATCGGGAAACTTAATAAGGAGTGGAGAGCGGAGGACAATGCTACTGATGTTATTTCCATGTCCCAACACGTCCCTGATCTTAAGCTTCCCATGGTACTACTGTACTAGCTCGTTCGATAATTTATATCGTTTTCTTTATTAGAGTGAAAGCATGCATTATTAGTACATTGTATGGTTTGAAGCTTATGTTGGTGGACATTGTGATTTCTGTTGAGACAGTGGCAAGACAAGCGGAGCAAAGAGGCCATATGCTTCTTGACAAGATGCGCATTCTCATGGTTGGTTTAAGAACATTATTATTAGTGTGTTATACGCTTCTTGAACTTATGCTTCTTCGAACAAATGTGTGGTCTTCAGATATTAAGGAATTTGAATTTGTAACTTTCGGTCGTAGTTTGATAACTATAATTACTAAACCCTCCTGTAGGTACATGGATTGTTACATCTGTTAGGATTTGATCACAAGGTTAGTGAAGACACTGAAGTGGAAATGGAGGAGGAGGAGGAGGATCTTCTCTTAAAGAGTCTTGGGTGGAAGGGAAAAGGGTTAATTCAGAGTGCATATGATGCTGCGACCCATTCCGATGGGCTCAAACTAGGTGGTAAACCTTATCTTTCTACAGCTTCACTTTTACATCCTTATTTTATGGAAATTATTTTATTTGTTAATCATTAAACTCTTCATTCAATCTGTAGCCGCAATTTGCTTGGTTAAACTTTGTGATGAGATAATCTTACATCTGAGTTGTTAAAGACAGAAAGAAAGAAGGAAGCCCTCAATACTATAAGCAAATGTTCAGATATATATTCAGTGATATGGATGGCAAGTTTGGGCTTATTGTGTCATACGCCTGTATTTTATTTTACTTAGCTTGTAGGCTTGTAGCCTTGCACCGACTGTTTTTATATTGTTTTATCTTGATATACAAGGCACCCTTCTCAACAGCAAAAGCCAACTGAGCTCAACAAATGTCAAGGCTATGAAAGAGGCCTCATCAAGGGCTGTGAAAATAGTGATAGCAACCGGAAAAGTAAGAATCTCATTTTCTGTTCATTATCAGCAGGAGACATTGTAGAAATGTATTATAAATTTTACTTATTCTGGTGTTCTACTGTTGGTCAGTGTTTCTTGGTACATGATTCTTGATTGTTGAATTGTGTTGATTAAAAAAATCTTCTAATTGTTGACAGCTCTTTGGAACAGGCTCGGCCAGCTGTGATTCGCGTTTTTAAGGGGGTAGATTTAACTGGAAAAGATGGCATTGTTTCAGAATTTTCTCCTGGGGTTTTCTTGCAGGTTCTCTTTTTTCCTTTGAAAATTTCATCTCAAGCTTGCTGCCAAGTTATGTGTGATGAACATGGAATTGTCTTCACTTGATAGAAGCATGCTTACTCCTGTCCAGAGAACTGCTATCTTAACGTTTTAAGTTGCTTTGGTTATATCTCACACATGAAATAATTTTCTCACTTTTATCTGCCCTCAATCTACATGTGGTACTCTCTTTTGTAAGCTTGATAAGGACAATAGAGGGAACCGTGATATCCATTCCTGTTCCCTCTTAAACATTTACATACTCTTCGTCTGTCACCAAACTTATGTAAATTCCACCACCTCTAGTATCTTATGAATGACTTGATATCTGTAATGGTTGGTCAAGCTTTTAAGAAACAAAATTCTCAATGGTTGTTACCTTTATCATCTCTCCCTCTTAGGACTGTTTTTTGTCCGGCTCGAGTTGATATTAATACATTTTGTCCTTATCGTCTGCCTCAACTTGATTCCAGGGATTGCTTGTTTATGGTACACAAGGTCGGGAAATTTTTAGAAGGAATTTGGATACAGATGTATGCAGAGAGGTAATAGTTTGGTGAGGCGTGCATGAATATATTATTCATTGGCTTGTAATGAAATAAAAGACCAGATGTTTATGTGCAGGCATGTCGTTACTCTCTGGAAAATGAGGTTCCTCTTATAACATTCACCAAGGATCATTGCTTATCCCTTTGTGATCACCCACTTGTTGATTCCATGCATACTGTTTATCACGAGCAAAAGGTGCCAAAAGTTTGTTTCATCATGGTCATAAATAATAGCTTACTGGCTGAGGTTTCATTTTGCGCCATTTTATATAACTTACATGGAAAGTATTCATTTACAGGCGGAGATCATGCCTTCAGTTGAGCATCTCATGGCTGCTGCTGGTATACAGGTACGGCCCTCAAGGAGGAACAATACTGTCCCCATCCTCTCTAACAAAGAGAAAAAAAAAATATTAAGCTTAGTGTTTTGCTCTTAATTTCTATTGATTCATAAAAGATTGAGGTTTTAGTCAGAAATCCATTGTCTAGCGTCTCCAGTTCATACACTTGGTCTCATTTGTAAAATTTTGATTGAATTAATATCCTATAGTTCTTGCTTCTTTCAGTTCTTGTAATGTCGCACGCCTCAATATACAGAAACTAGTCTTCATGGACACTGCTGAGGGAGTAACAACTGCTATGAGGCCATACTGGTCAGAAGCAAATGGAGATGGTGCCAGAGTTGTTCAAACCGTGCCTGACATGCTTGAAATTGTTCCCCCTGGAACCTCAAAAGGAAGTGGAGTGAGCATGCTGCTCGATCATTTGGGAATCACTCCAAAAGAGGTATGGACAACAAAGCTGTTCTCCTATCTCCTTTTTTTTAGCGTTTTTCTTGTTTTAATGGGAGTTGTTCATGTTCCTCAACTTGACCGGCACAAGGATTATCACCACAGATTGAAAAGGGGTATTTGATATTTCACTGCATCGTTCTTACCATGATAAGCAGTATGCGTTGTTCCAAGAATAGTTCAAACAGTATGTTTAACCAACCGACACAAGTTGGCGATGTTGGTGGATGATAAGGCCACTGTCATTGACTTTATTTACTTCTTGTTTGCATACAAATATCGTTGTCATTCCTGATCGATTCTTTTAATTTGTTTTTTCAGATCATGGCTATTGGCGATGGGGAAAATGATATCGAGATGCTTGAGCTGGCTTGCTTAGGCATTGCTCTTGGTAACGGAGTGGAGAAGACAAAAACTGTGGCTAACGTAATTGGTCTCAGCAACGACGAAAACGGCGTAGCTGATGCAATATACCGGTATGCATTGTGAGCTTCTCTTCAAGACAGAGGAACCGGAATACAGACATAGCTTAATAATTGTGAGCTTCTCTACCGATATCCAACCTGCGAAATTGCTACTGAGGTCAATTGTATTTGTACGTGGAGTCATTCCTCCATCCACAACACTTGTCAATAATTTTTGCCAAAGATGGAAAAGAAAAGATTGTCATTCATGGACGATGAATTGTAACTGAGAGGTTTTAGTTTGTTCGTGGAGTGTGAATTAGATAAGAGTGCAAATGTTTGTCTTCACTAAGTTTCACTGGACTTAATTAATATTGTAGTCTCGTGTTTGTTACCCACAAAGACTAGCTTTAATGAGATTAAGAGGCACTCGTCTCAACTAAGGCCTCGTTGGACGGTCCTAGTAAGACCCCTCGAAAACCAGAGAACTACTAGACTGTCCTCTCTTGCGACCTCGTCCTGCTCGAGTTCTCTGACAACGATTCCTCGTCTTTAAGTCCTAGACCCCCTTCTCTGCCCTCTTCCGCCTCGTCTTTTCCTCCAAGAAGTCTTGTCCGAGATAATCCGATGAAACGAACGCACTTAGCATAATTATGTTACGTTGGTCCGTAGTGTAAATTCAAAAATAAAACAAAGGAGGCATTTAAGTTCGTGCCGTCTCCGTCAGATTGTCGCTCATTTACAACACAAGGTGCGATCGAAGCAGCCACTCGCACACACTCCCTCGCGAGCTCCAAAAGCCTTGGCCCCATAAATGCTCCTCCGCCTCCCTACTCTCCTCCGCACCCTCCACCCTCCCTCCCCGTCCTCCGCCACTCAAATGGCGCGTTACATTCCGCGCGCCACCCTAATATCCATCACCCCTCTTCCCATCCGACAAACCACCGCCTCATTTCCCGCGCTCATCCATTCAATCTCCCCTCCTGAAACGCACCGTTTCAACACCTCAAAAACTTCTCTATTCGGCCGGAGATTTCACTCTCTGTGCGGACACGAACGGATACGAGCAGCCAGACCGCCATTGCTACGGGGACCAATCTTCTTCTCACAGAGAGAGTACCGAAAGGTGAGACGGCGAGCCGCAAAAAGCAAGGAGAAGGAGATCGAGCTTGACATCAGCATTTGCATCGAAGAAGGATTGCCTGACGATCCTGAAGTGCTGGTAATCTCGGGACCGCCCACCAGGTGTTTGTGTAAATGCCTCTTTATATAAGCTTGGCCTGATTACCTGAAGTTTGAACTTGCAGAGTATTGCGGAATTGCTTCGTCTGAATGTTCCAATGGCAATGAAGCTGGCGTTTGATGGGTTGAAAGGTTCAGTGTATAAAACAAGGGACAATTCCATAAACGACGTTGGTGGATTCGAAAGCATAGAGCTTTCGGTGCTTCTCTGCAACGATGAGTTCATCCGAAAACTTAACAAGGAATGGAGAAATGAAGACCATGCCACCGATGTTCTCTCACTGTCGCAGCATGTCCCAAATCTTAAGCTTCCCATTGTACTAGCTCATCACTTTTTCTTTTTTTTGGTTCCATTTCTTTTTGCATAACTTTAATCACTGAAGCTTTGTATCGTGTGCAGCTTATGTTGGGTGACATTGTGATTTCTGTTGAGACAGCGGCAAGGCAAGCGGAGGAAAGAGGCCACACGCTTATTGATGAGATACGTGTTCTCATGGTTAGTTGGTTTAAGGATTTTTTTCGTAGGAGAACCAATTAATTCAGAGCAATGCCTTTTAGTGTAGTTTGATGACTTTAATCACTGAATCCTCCTGCAGATACATGGGTTGTTACATTTACTAGGATTTGATCATGAGATTAGTGAAGAGGCAGAAGTGGAAATGGAGAAGGAGGAGGAGCTTCTTTTAAAGAGTCTTGGGTGGAAGGGGAAGGGATTAATTCAAAGTGCGCATGATGCCGAAACCCAAACAAATTCCCATGAGGAAAAACCAGATGGTAATCTTTTACGGTTTCATTTTCACATCTTTTGTCATTGGATTTGCCAATATAAGTTTTTAGTGGAGTAATCTTACTGGTGAATTGTTAAAAGACAGGAAGAGGGAAGGCAGCCTGCGATTTTATAAACCAAAGTTCAAATGCATTTTCTGTGATATGGATGGTAAGTTGGCGGTTACTGTAATCTAGCGCCTTCATTGTGCTATGTTAAGCTTAAAATGAACTTTATATATTATTCTCTTGATATTCAAGGCACCCTTCTCAACAGCAAAAGTCAAATTAGTTTAACAACTGCGAAAGCTCTCAAGGAGGTCTCATCAAGGGGTGTGAGAGTAGTGATAGCCACTGGAAAAGTAAGAACAACATTTTTTTTCTTCATAATGATTATCAGCATATTATGCTCGAAAATGTGTTTTCATTATGTTTGCCAATACGATTTTTTGCTTATGATTGATTTGTTCAAAAACTTTTGGAATCTAATGTTTTACTGTTGCTCTAGCCTGCAGTGTTACTTTTTATGTCAGTTTATATATTGATGTATGTGTTGCTTCTAAATATTATAATTCACATTGAAACAGTCTCGTTCAGCTGTGATGAAAATTTTTAAGGAGGTAGAATTAGCTGGAGAAGATGGCATTGTTTCGGAATTTTCTCCTGGGGTTTTTTTGCAGGTTTATCTTTTCTTCCTTGCAAATTTCATTCTCACCATGTTGCAAGTTCATCTGATGACCGAACTATTCACTTGCCACATGCTTAGTCTTCTGTTGAATGTGTTTCCATAATTTTCTCACTTGTATTTACCCAATAATCTTCTTAGACCTAGATGTTTTTTCTTCCTTTTGTAAGCTTGATGAGGACACTATACTGAACTGTGCTAACCATCCCTGCTCATCTTAAATGTTTTCATGTTCTTTTTCTGTCGCCATAGGTAACTCCCTGATGAGTTTTACTTACTGAATCTTGGCAATTGCCGGTCATACTTTTAGGAACAGACTGCCGTACTGACTATTGCTTATGCTAGTCTTTTTCAGAACTGTACTTGCTTCTGTCTTGGGTTGATATTCGTACATGCTTCTTATTGTCTGCCTCTACTTGATTACAGGGGTTGCTTGTTTATGGTAGGCAAGGTCGGGAAATTTTTAGAAAAAATTTAGATACAAGTGTCTGCAGAGAGGTAATACCTTGGTGGGGATTTCTAGAATTTTGGGGTTTCACTGGAAATCTGTCTAAACAAAAGACTGTATGCTCTTTATTTGCAGGCGTGTCTCTACTCTTGTGAGAATAAGGTTCCTCTTATTGCGTTCAGCAAGGACCGTTGCTTTTCTCTGTTTGAGCATCCATTACTTGACTCAGTGCATACATTGTATAATGAGCCAAAGGTGCTATAAAAAATCAATGTTTCATCATGATGATAAATATTCTTTATCGCCTGAGCTCCCCCCTCACCATCCCCTTTTTCGTATATGGAACGATATTTACAGGTGGAAATCATGCCTTCAGTTGAGCACCTCTTGGCTGAAGCTGACATACAGGTGCGGATTTGATTGTATTACGAAAATATGCAAGCCACTAGCTCTCAGCTTTGATCTTAATTTTCCTTGAATCAACTCTTCTTGTGGATAACTAGAAGTTTCTTCGGTCTCAAACCAACTGCGACCCTAACATGAAACTAATTTATTGTTGGTCTTTTGCATATACAGAAAGTGCTCTTCATGGAGACCCCTGAGGTAGTGGCTACTACTTTGAGGCCATACTGGTCACAAGCAACTGGAGATCGTGCAACAGTTGTTCAAGCTGTGGAAGGGCACCTTGAAATTGTTCCCGCAGGAACCTCAAAGGGAAGTGGGGTGAACATGCTTCTTGATCATTTAGGAATCACTCGAAATCAGGTACAGAGTTATCTTCTTGTTTTAGCGTTTATTGTTTTAATCGGAGTTAGTCGTATGCCTATACAGAGTTATCTTCTTGTTTTAGGAATCACTCCAAAATCTTGCAATCTGTGTTGGTGCTGATATCGTGTTTTGCATGTTTCCTTGTTCTAGTTATGTACCAATTATGATTTTATTCCTGATTAGTTCTAATAATTGTTTAGATCATGGCTATTGGCGATGGAGAAAATGATGTCGAGATGCTTGAGCTGGCTTCTTTGGGCGTTGCTCTTAGTAACGGATCAGAGAAGACAAAAGCTGTGGCTAATGCAATTGGTGCAAGCAATGATGAAGATGGTGCGGCTGATGCCATTTACCGGTACGCATTTTGAGGTTCAGTTTTGACAAAGAAGAGTTAGCATAGACAATTCATAGCATATTGAACGGATGACTCATGCAACCTGCCGGATTCTTCAGGACAAGTCTTCCCGGTTAAAGTGATGGAAATTGTCATTTTTTTACGTTTTGGAAGAATTTTTTGGTATTTGCATACTGAATCGCCCTCGGTCCAAAAGAAAAATACTTTGGTTAGTGTGATCCCCGACGAGTATTTCATCTATCAAATGTTAATTTCGGGTGCAATAGTAGTCGGGTGAATTAGGTCGAAATACTATTTCTTTCTCTTCTCCAAAATGGTGTTTTAAGCATTGGATTGATCAAGTAAGGCTCTCAACTAAAGAATTCATGTGTATTGAAAGAAGAACGCTCCCATATAAGAAAAGACTACATGTATTTCTCAAAGGTTCTGGTATCTCAATCTCATCAAACGATTTGGTGGCCACATCAAACAGCACTATGGAATCTTCGCAGAGCTTTTTTATCGCGGGGCAGAAGCCAGTGCACGGAACCATTGACGAAAACGTTCCTAGGATATGGGTTGCTCTTACCGAGAACAGGGCAACCAGCAAAAGAAACGGCAGGAGGAGCTGGAAGAGGACTAAGAATCCTCCAGGATCCCCTGGCTAAGGAGTAAATTCAACGCCATACGGGGTGTTACTGGCATGACCACAAGAAAACCTGTCCCGGAAAATTCTCAGCACCCTGCACTTACAGTCATTGGTGCGCGAATCATAGCCGAACGCAGACGCGGTTACAATACAAAATATCGGCAATGTATTTTGGTCTAGTTTTGGTCCAAGGGAGGGTACAAATGGTAGGAGGGAGGGGGCAAAGTCACAAACATTTTACTGCAGGGTTGCCAATTTATTATGGGGCATGTGGGGGAGCAGTAGAGGTCATTAGCAGTGTTCTAAAAACCGGCTTAGGCGGTGAAGACCCACCGTGATTTAGGGCAAATTGTTTTGAAAAATAGGTCTGGAGCTAGGCAGCCGCCTAGGTGGGCTAGGCAGTCTTAGGCAGCGGGCTAGGCGGTTCCTAGGCAGTCCTAGGTGGATTTGGTTTTTTATTTTATATTATTTATTTATTAATTGTGTGCTTTTTTATTTTTTAGTTTCATGGTGGTATACTTCTGAAAATGGTGTACCTAATTTGCAAAGGATGGATTGACTACAAGTTTATCCAATTGTGAAATGAATTGGAGAACTTTTGAGGGGATACATACAAAAAAATAAATAAAATAAACTAGATACAATAACATTAAATAATTTAGTCTATGTCCAATCCAATGCAAGGATCATGAACAAGAAAATTTAGTCCATCATCCAAGAATACTCCTCATTATGATTATATGCTTACTGTTTTTTTAATATTGAGCTTGTTGGATGGACATACTTTATGTATTCTTCTACTTCTATTTTTGCATTTTGTCATTCTTTTATTATCCATTTAAATATAGTTTTTTTAAGTGTAAATAGGCACCTATTTACAAGATATATAATAAATTTATATAAATTCGTCTAGGCTGCCTAGGCATTAGGCCCCTGCCCGCTGCTGAACTAGCGCCTAGCATTTTTAAGAACCTTGGTCTAGGGGTGGGCAAACGGGTATAGGAACTGCGGGTCAATCGGGTAATCAAGGTTTAGGGTGGGTATGGGCTGGTTCTAAATTTTTAATAAGAGAAACGGGGCGATCAAATTTTAGGGGCGGGCCAGTTTCAGAAGTATAGAAAAACGGGTACCCGAACCAGCCCGTTTGTAATTGCGTCACATAGCTCTCACCAGTCACCCCTCCACTCCTCGTTTTTATTATCTTTTTCCATGCGAAATCAAAAATTTCTCACTACAACTAGAAACCAAATCTTTCTTTAACCTCTTCAAGTTTATAAAGTGGCATCGTTTCGAGACCATCGTTATCACCGTCACCAACCATGTCATCATTGTCGAAGAAGATCACCCTCAAGAGCTCGGACGGTGAGTCGTTCAAGGTAAAGGAAGCGGTGGCGTTGGAGTCACAGGCCATCAAGCACATGATCAAGGACAATTGTACTGACATCGGCATTCCTCTGCGCAATGTCACCAACAAGATTTTGGCCAGGGTCATTGAGTATTGCAAGTAGCATGTCGACACCGCCAACCTCGACGAGATCAACAAGTCATCCTGATGGTAGGACGACATCTTCTACGCTCTCTGCAGCGCCTACATCCTCATCTCCTCCGTCGCTCTAGTCTCTCTCTATCTAACTTCATATATTTAGTGCATATGATTCGATTTCATGCTTCTTATCAAAGATTTGAGGATGAGAAGAGGCGGATCTGAGTTAGGCAGCGTCGAATCTCATTGTGGGTGGCGATTTTGAACTGGGCTTGGTGGCAATTTGGAACTGGGTTCTGGAGCTCTATATCAAAACCGAAAAAAAAAATAAAGTAAGAGGACCTGTTGTACCCGACCTATAACAACCGACCTCCGAAATATATATTTTCGGGAAATAATTCCAATGATAGGCCCAAATTAAACTCTTGTTTATTTAACTACCATAATTCATAATTCTTTATCTAAATTTATGAATCACTCACAAAATCTATAACCAAATTCAACATCCAAAACATAAGATTTAATTTTACAATTAATCACCAAACTTCTTTTCCTAATTCAAATTCCCAACAAAAGATTTATCTTAACTATTTAAGGCTACATCTAACCCCTGTTAGACTGCTTACGTGCCCTTGATGTGGGATCAAGTATTTCGTAGTTCACCTTTCATTGTCAATCCATTTCCAAAGACATTCAAGTAATCGAAATAACCAACATTGGGTTCAATAATCGAAACACATCAATTAGATGCCAAATTCATATTTAGAATATCAAAATTTGCACAAAATGACATCATCGGCCCACTGGCCACGCCCCGAAGTGGGTGGCGGTCGGCCGCCCCGACTCGTTGGAAAATTTCACTATTTCTAAAAATTCTCAAATTTTATAGAAATGTAGAGCAAGCCAAGGGGAACAACGTTTATACCTGGACCGAAGTGCAATTCAGCCGGAAAACACCTTAAATCATCATAAACTCGTTGAAAACCCCAGAAAGATGGGTTTTGATTCGACCTTCATACGTAGTCTCACGCCTCCACCATTGCTTAGGCCTTGTTCCTAGCCTTCAGATGAGTACTTTGGTGGTGGTAGTAGTGGTCGAAACCTGCAGAAATGGGCTATCTCGCTGTGACCCCGTCGGAACCCACGGGTTCCATTTTTCCCAAATCAGGATCCAATCGAGGTGGATTTTGGGTGGAAATGAACGAGGGAAGGTTAGGGAGTTGTTTGGTAGGGGTGATAGTACGTAATTTGCCGGAAAAATGGATGGAAAACCCGTCGAAAATTATTGTAGGCAAGGGTCGGGTTAGAGAAGAAAACCTGGCAAGGGATTCAGTGTGGTTCTTCTCTCTCATTTCCCCTCCTTTCCTGCTCTCCCCATTGGTCACCCCTTATTTCCCTCCTTTCTCTGATTGGCCTCCTCCTCTTTTTTCTTCCTTCCTTCCTTTTTCCTGTGGCCTATTTCCACCAAAACAGAATCTGGAGCCTTCCAGATTCATGGAAAAATGACTAGTTTGCCCCTACCTTCGTTCGTTTTTATTTCATTCGTTATAACTCTGTTTCACGAACTGTTTTCACCTACGCACTCGGAGGGTCGTCCTCTATCCAAATATGTCAAAAAAATCCGATAAAGTATATGAGTATAAAATACGTCCTAGTATAATTACGTTAAACCAAATAGGGCATTTTCGTCTTTTTAACTTAACGATAAATTTTTCAACATAATTTATAATAACTTCCGGAACAAAACTATAAAAGTTTTCAATTCATTTTTACATACCCATAAATCGATTTATTTTCGATTTTTCTCCACATATTCATATATTAAATTTTCAAGGTATTACACGGCCTAAATCTGTTGTACCTGCCACAGACCGTCCCATTTCTTTTAAACCCCGGTCCTGTCCGACCCATTTCTTTTAAACCCTGATCTGGTCCGGTCCGATTCCTTCAAAATTTGGCCCGGCCCGGCCCGTGCCCAACCCTACCTTGGTCACAAACATTAGGTTTCATTTGACACATCGTATAAGACCATTATAGAGCATTAATAAAACGGAACAGGTGTTTGGTAAGTTTTGTATTACATAAGCACCAACTTATTTAATATGTCCCCACCTATTTTTTAGTGTTTGTATATCGAGTCACCGTCTATCTAAAAGAAAAGGTACTTCAATTAGGGTACTTAATTTACAACTAATTATATTTGTGAAAGATAATTAAAAGAAAAAACAAGAATATATATATATATATATATATATATATATATATATATATATATATATATAGGGTTAATCTCAGTTTACTACCCTAAAATTTCTTGGTTTTCAACATTTAGTATATCATGTTTTTTTTGTCCCAGAATGGTACCTAAAGTCATAATTCTGGGACACTTTCATACATCCGTTAAATTTTCTGCTAAAATCTCCGTTAACTGATGTGATTCCCACATGGACAATGACTAAGTGCCATGTGGATATTAAAAATTAAAAAACAAATTAAATTTAAAAATTAAGAACTATTCTACCCAACCCCGCTCCCACCCAGCCCTTCATCCCTTCTCTCTTCTCTCCTCTACGCCCAACACAAACTCAGCCATATCGAATAAGAGCTTACTTTTTGGCTCTCCCTGCCCTCACAACTCCCAGATTTGCAACTCCCTATTGAAACCACTAGCCCTCATCGAAGGCAACCACACATTCGCCCGGTTCTGCTCCCACTAAACCAAAATCCCAATACAATTTCTTCAATTTTATACAAATTCAATTTGTTTTTTCAATTTCGATTCCTAACACAGATGGACAAAGATTTGGTTCTTCCAGTAGCGGAGCTACACTGGGGGCAATGTATGCTCACGACCCCAATAACCCAGTGCTACTCCATGTATTTTGTTGACTTGACCTCATAATTTGTTTAAAGAAGACCAAATTTGATGGTGTAGGTGGAGCAGTGCTAGATATTTTGCATGCCATCCATTTGGAATTTGGCTTCATCCATTGGACTGGAGATATGAATTTTACTTCGAAATTCATGTGGGCTGGTCTTTGTTTGACCAATTTGTGCACTACATATGTTCATCTTTTGCTTGCCAATTAGAATATTATAAAATTCACTTACTTACGTCTCTCATTAATTTGTTTCAGTATCTATCTTCTGTTAAGTCTTGAATTTTATTACATTGTCATACCTAGTATCAATGATGGAGTATCAGTTTTCTTTTCAA